AGAATAAAAGTTACGCCTTCTTTCTTTGCGTGAACGTTTGGGCGGCGTTATGCAAATCTTCTCACATCGTGACGTAGACATGTGGGGTGTGTTAGAACGAGCCGTTTTAGGTAGGCGTGGTTGACTCTTAACTTTTACACAGAATATCTCTTTGGATTAGAAATTTTAGTCTTTGCAACTTTACAGATCTTCTTTATGCACCAAGAGCTTGTAACACTCCAAAGAGAAAGGAAAAATTGAAATCGCATCATATGACCCCTTTAAGTACTAGTACAGACGTACATGCTGTGCTCGAAATGCCATAGTGTCATACTACTCTTACTATTTCTGCAGTATCCAGAATGTACACTGTGCATAGTATGCAAATTTTCTATATGCATGGAATACCCGGATGACCTACTATATTTGCCAGAATCTGCTAAATATAACTCAAGTACATTGAAATCAGTACAAGTACAAGCAGTGTTCAGAATGGCATACTACCATAAAACTCCTACTTTATTGCAGTATGCAGTGTGTATAATGTGAATAGTATGTGAATTTTCTGTATGCATGGAATTCCTGGATTACCTGCTACATTTGTTTAAATTTGATGTATTCATCTGAAGACAGTGCATGGGATACTGTTTTCCAGAACGCAACACGCTCCATGTAATGTTTCATCTTCAAATTGTGAGTGAACTGGAGACGGGGGATAGTAATTATAAATGTAATACTTTTATATGTATATACATATTACTGTAAACTACAAACTATTGCTCTGTATCTAAAAACAATATCGTTAGTAGGGCATAAATTGTAACTTAATTTCTACAGCACATTTCCGATCAAATCAAATGACGTCACCTTTATCTCTATAGCACTTTATACAGTATAGATTGTTTCAAAGATATTAAATAACAATAATATTGTAGTAATATAATATATAAATAAACAAAACTTATCATTATTTGCACTTAGTGTAACTAGAATATATCGCTTTTTCCACTAAGTGTAACTGCCAAAAAGAAAATATTGTTCAGTTAAAGACAGCTTAATGTTGATCCAGTTCTGTTCAACATGTTAAGTTAATTAATTATGAGATGAGTTCAATTGGGCAATATAGCATTGTTTACTAGTATGCATAATTATTAACACGCCTTTGTAAAAAAAATGGTTCACACATTTATTTGTAAGGTAACTACCTCGACAGCTGTGCTGAATTAATAAGGATAATTTTTTGTCATGTGACAACACGGTAGCATACTACTCTGAAACATTTTGTTGCATATTGTATACTGTTTCACACACTATTCTTAAAAAATTGTAGGCAGTATATACTGTGTACTGGGCAGTAAGCAAGTATGCCATTTTGAACACAGCCACAGACTTCATTCAAACATTTCGTATATATTGTTAGTCTTACATGT